AAGAAAAAAATAGTACCAGGCGCTCAATTCAAGCCTCAGGACCAGCACTAGAAAAAAAAAGAATAAGCAAGTTAATTAATTCCAGGGGTTATCCTACAGTTGGAATCTGCCAAACATTTCAATGGCTAGTGGATAGAAAGGTAACTACAGGCCCTTGACCAATATATTATCAAGCAAAGATGTTCTGCCATGAAAGAAGAAAAGTAGTCACCCTTACCTCACACCTCTGCAACCAACAAGAAGCACAAAGCATATGTCAACATGTACCTTTCTTTAGTTCCTACAGTGACCTGGGTGTTCTCTTCCATGGGCACTCAGTCTTGTCTACAATGAAGCAAGGGACTAAAACTCTAGGAAATATCTTGAAGCAACATTTGTATAACTCTAGGGAATACAATCCCCACAAGTAAAATTCTACACACGTATGCAGACAAATGAACACAGTTGGGGAATCCTGGGTTCCCACAATTTGCATGGCTTAGTATCTCTGACAAACAATTAGAAGGGACAAAGTAAGATGGAAGTTCAAGTCCTTGAGCAGTCTGGCTGCAATGAAATTCCACATATTGAGGTGGGCCAGCTTGCTTACTGTCAAGAGTTCAAGTCTAAGATAAGGTCAGTGTGAGTAACAATCGGGGAGCTATTACTCTGTGTTAATTAGCATCTTGGATCTCAGAAATGTTTTTGTTTTAGCTTTTCTTTCTGTTAAATAAAATCAATTATCTGTAGATTAGCACATGGTTTGGGGAAACTTTCAATGATGAAATTTAAAATATATAAAGTATGACGATACTAAAATACATATATGCATTTTTTTGGAAACTTGTATTCTTCACACACATGAACAAAATAAAAGGCCCATGGATGGCCATACTTAGTGATGATGTCTTAGACTATATTATGAACCCATCTTCCCTCCTGAAACCTTTGGGCAGAACTCTACTGAGCTAAATCAGAGTCTAAATTCAGTGCGTCCTTGTATACACTAACTGAAATATTCTCCTGTATTTTAACCCAGGAGCTATCAGAAGATGTTTGAGAAATAATGTGGGAACTCACCCCTTCCTTTTCCACAAAAGAGTTATTGAACATATGATTAACAAATGCATTATAACCTATAAACAACTAAACCCCAATGTAACATTCTGTGGCCTACCACGCCCAATTGGAGAAGACTGATGGCATGTTAAAGGTGGTCTAATCATGGGGGTCCTACTTTGGTTCTAATGCATAAAGATTCAGAATGTAAGATATGGGGCTTTTTTTCTGATAGAGAAAACATACCTATTATATATATTTGACAGATGTAATTTTTAACTTTTTAAAAATTTGTCCAAATTTTTAAATATCCTAACATTATAAAATTATGATCAGTCCTTGTCAAATAAAGAACAATTACAAACCACATAGATTTCAGTTCAAGATTATAGCTAGATGTGGAAGGAAAAAGTGATTAATGGATTTTCAGGTGAACAGAGAGATTCCCTCAGGCTGTTGCTATGGTGCTTTGACATCTCTTGGCAGCAATCTCAGAGCTTAACAGGAAAGAAGATAAATGAGAACTCCAGCAGAATGTTCTACAGAACACTGCTCATTGTTTCAAGTACCACTCCATGGTGGTCTGAATGATCTCAGAATAAATGCTTGCAAGGCACATCCACAAAAGGGATTTTTTTAAGCATTCGACAGGGCCCTCAATAATAATCAGCAGAATAATAAAATCTGTCAGAGAGAATCAGAGAATACTTTTCCCCCCCTGAATGTTGATAACCATCTCCATGTTTATGTAATTATACTGTTGAGACAAAGCAGTTTAATAACTTTGGATCATTCTTTCAAAATATTTAAGACTTACGTGGGCATTATCGTAACATAGCTATTACTCACTGGCAATAGTTCTGATGCTTTTGTTTTCTGGGATGACAATCACAGCTAGTTCTCTGAGAAGCAAAGCCATTGTAATGAAAGTGTGTAGTGTGGCTTAAAATGCCATCCATGTTTCTTCTAGGTCATACACACACACACACACACACACACACACACACACACACACACACACAGTGCATGACTCCTTTGGAACAGAGATTTTTATCTAGTTTGCTCATAGTTATAGCACTAATATGCAGTCCTCATGGAATTTGGATGTATTTGTGGGAAAAAGAATGTCAGGTAAGATACAATTCCTCCTCCCATCTCCTCCTGATAAACTCCAAGTCACTCAGCCCTCCTTATTACCACATGTCTGCATGCCTATGTTTCCTTATTGCTCAACATCCTCATCTGTTTTCTCATTTCCTTTTTTCCAGACCACCAATGTCACAATCCACCTCTGTCTAAATGAGCATGAGGGTCACTAGGATGGCTGATTCAAATAGTGTGAAAAAGTTCTAAAGTTCAGTATTGACTCAGCCAATCATTTCTACTTTGTCTGTAATCTCTCTTGTTCACTGGTAAGTTTTGTCTACAAGCATCAAGTAATTGAGAAAGACATATTTGAAAATATAATTGCACTCATTTAACACTATAATAAAGCTTGCTGTCAGTAGGACATGGTGGTGTACACCACATAAACTCAAGTTCAAGTTCAAGGTAGCTGAAAGCCATAGAAGGTATCTTTGGTCTAATAATGGGACTTAGTGGTAGAGTGCTTGCCTAGCACGCATGAGGCCCTGGGTTTGGTTCCTCAGTATCATATAAACAACAACAAAAGATAATAATTTTTTTTAAAAAAGCTATCTTTAAAAAAAATGCTTATACAGTGAAAACAGGGGTTATACCGTGCAGGAGGGACAAAAAAATGCGTATTTCTCAACATCTATGGAGTGCTTACTTCTAAGTTGCCTGTGTTTGGCAATAGGGTCTCTAAGGAGGTAAATAAAGGACCTTGTACTTGTTAGGCAGGTACTCTACCACCTGAGCTACAACTCCAGCTTTTATGGCTTCCATTAGCTTTTGAAACAGGTCTTGCAGTTTGCCAGGCTTTCCTGGTCTACCATCTTCCCATTTAGACTTTCTCATATAGCTGATATGACAGGCATACATCAAGCCCCCAGCTTTATATTAGTTCATATAGGGTGTCATGAACTTTTTGCTCAGGCTAACTTTGAACTTCAATCCTAGAGTCTCATCCATCCATCCATAAAGCTACGATGACAGGTGTGAACCACTATGCCTGACCAAAAATATAGTTTTCAAAAGCTGGAAATTGTATATGTGGTAATATATAGATGAATTTTATGGATGCACTATATACTTGATTTTCTTTGATACAAGCTTTACTAAACAGCCTACGTTAGCTTGAATTTTCAGTTCTTCTGCCTCAGTTTCTCCAGTGCTAGGATAATAGTAATTAGTATCAGCATGACTAATTGATTATATAATATTGAATACATATTAAATACCCAATAAAGGAGGAAACAAGAGCAATATATAGCAATGAGACAGTTAAATCTTCCTTCTTATTTCTTTCCAAATAACTCTTTCATTTGCCAACTTTCAGTCATTCTATATTTATATTTATTTTACCAAAACATTTCTTTTTTGCCCCTGTCCTATATTTCTAAGGAACAAATTTTATTTTTCCATTTAAAAATTTAACTTGACTATTTAGTGTATACTGTATTTATCTTTATATCAGCCAAATGCTTGTGATATTTACTCATATTAATTTTAACTTCTGTATAATATTCCATATTGGAACTAAACTATCCATTCTGTTTTCAGGTTGGGTTCAGGTTGTTATTATGTTCATTTTAGTTTTGGTAATCTATTAGAGAAAAGAGTCTGTCTTAAGAACTTTCCTGACTAGTTGGCTTTGAACCACAATCCTCAGATCTCAGCCTCCTAAGTAGCTACGATTAGAGACATGAGACACCAGCACCCAACTTGAGGGTTTATTTTTCAATATACCTTTAGAAATAAAGCACTTATTAAGTTAAGCAATTCAGAATTTCATCTTCAGTTTGGCATCACAGAAATGGCCCACTGTAGCTATTTGTACTTACTCAGTTCTTGTGGAACTTCCAGCTATCTACCAGTTAGAGGAAGCTGAATGTATTACCTTCTTTTCCACAATTACCATAACCAGAAGTCGCCTAGCTTTATTTCAGCAAGAAGATCCAGAGGCTGTGACATTACCAGTTCAATGATATTCCAGCTTTCAATTTGTGACATAAAACTCGCTCAAAGCAGATGTGACAAGTTTTACCACAAACTGATTTATCTGGTTTATCTATGCTGTTTGTAATAATACAACTTGTGATATTCTCATCCTTAGAAGTTAACAGTGCTAAATACTCATGGAATGAAGAAGCCTGCTAGTGCATGTCCTGAGATGTTTCCTAGGCTTCAAGAGACCTAGGACCTTTCCCAAGATGGCACCATGCATGGAAATAATTCAGCCATTATTTACACATGAGATGTAAACACATGAGCCACAATTTACACATGAGGTTTTAACAAGAATGAAATATAACACTGAAAATTACCATGTCAAAAAAAATCTTCAGCTGGGTACTGGTGGCTCACGCCTCTAATCCTAGCTACTCAGGAGCCTAAGATCTGAGGATCACGGTTCAAAGCCATCCCAAACAGGAAAGTCTGAGAGACTCTTATCTCCAATTAACCATCAGAAAAAATGGAAGTGGCATTGTGGTTCAAGAGGTAGAGCACTTGCCTTGAGCTGAAGAGCTCAGGGACAGCACTCCCAGACCCACAGTTCAAGCCCCACGACTGACAAAAAAAAAAAAAAAAAAAAAAAAAAAACCCTTCTCAGGGCTGGGAAGGTGGCTCAGTAGTAGAGTGTGCTTGCATAACATGCATGAAACCCTGGGTATGATTCCTCAGTACCACATAACCAGAAAAAGCCAGAAGTGGCACTGTGGCTCAAGTGTTAAGAGTGCTAGCCTTGTGCAAAAGAAGCTCAGGAACAGTGCCCAGGCTCTAAGTTCAGTTCCAGGACTTGCAAACAACAACAACAACAACAACCACACTCCTCACACTCAGAGGAAGTCATTTGCTTTATTGTAAAAATGACAATTTCAACAAAGGTATAAATTGTATATAATTATTCAATTTTAAAAATGAGATACATGTATCCAAACAACATCCCACTCATGGGAACTTTAAATATGTTTGAGGTAATACGAATTTAGAATGTTATAAATGCCTACATTTGGATATTACAAGAAAGAAAGCAGACAATAATTTTGTTTCCTGACTTAGTAATTTGCAAAGATTGACATAACAATTCTGTCCAACTGATCTCAGAAAGCAGGTAATGTTATGTTTTTTATGAACACAGAGTGGGAAATCCTAGTGATTGTACTTTCCATAATATTGTTTGAGGCAATCTACATAGGAAATATGATCAAGATTCATAATTGCACAAATTTGCAAGGCCTTGCAATGCTTATCACAAATTGCACTGCTGTCAAAACTCACAAAATAATAATTGTAGTATTTTATGAACTCCTTACTATCTAGCATTGAAAACTGTTTAGCTAATCCATACAAACTATGTGGCTGTGCATCCTTGACATTATAGGTCTTCGTCAGGATATATTCAAGCTTCCAGTTGGACTCTCCCTTGAGATTTGCTTCTGTCAAGTTCAAATAGTACTGCAATATATCCTACGGTTAAAAACAACACAAAGCCTGGTTCATTTTTTGGCACATAAAACATTGCCATTGCACCATTTGAAGCATACCTACTGATATCTATGTTATAGTCTTATTGTTGAAATTGATTTTAAAGAAAAATAAGGCAGATAATAAATCAATGTCACTTGAGATGATTTTAGAAGTAATGATCTTTGAGCTCAAGGTTCATGCTTGCAAAGCAGAAGCTCTATTTTTTAATATGGTTTTTATTGTAAAAATAGTATACAGAGAGGTTACAGTTACATGAATAAGGTAATGAGTACATTTCCTATTGAGCATTGTTACCTCCTCCTTTGTTTTTCCCCTACCATCCCTTCTCCCCACCTCCTCAACGCCTCCCTCCCCTCTCCTAAGTTGTAAAGTTTGTTTTCAACATAGTGTCTTGTACATTTCATTGTTACAATGGGGTCAAGCTCTATTGTTTGAGCCATGTCTCTAGTCTTGATGCTTCGCTGTTTTTGAATAAGGTTTAACTTTTTGCAATGGTCATCCTGGATAGTAATCTTCCTATTTAGACTTTCCTACTATAGTTGGGATGACATGTATGCTTAGCTATAATCAAATTTTCCTATTGACATGAGTGGATCTGAATTTTTTTGCCAGGTTGGCTTCAAACCATGTTCTTCCCAATCTCTCTGTCTCACACACACACACACACAGGAGATACATATATATTTGATATATATAGATATACATGATAGATACATATTTCATTATGATATAGATATTATATATTATATAATTATACTTAATATATAAAATAATATCTATTGAAATAATATCTATTTTATATTTAAGTATAATTATATAATATATAATATCTATATCAATACACAAAATATATATCTAAATCAAATATGTATGTATATATATTATATATATATGGTTTAGATTTAAAAGTAGGTAATGAATAGTTGTAAAAGAATTCCTTTGATAACCCTGCTTTCACTGTATTTGATGTCGGTATAATTTGTGGAGGGGAAGGGAAAAAACAAATTGTTTAACTAGGAATACAGGTGGACCCATTGCAACAATAAGATGTACAAGTCATTATGTCAAAAACGAACTTTACAACTTTGGTGCGGGGAGGGGGGAGGGGGGGCAGGGAGGATTGGGTGGGGGGACGGGGAGAGTATGGGAAGGGATGGGAAGGGGAAACAAAGAGGAGGCAACAATGCTTGATAAGAAATGTACTCATTATCTTGCCCATGTAATTGTAACTCCTCTGTACAGTATTCTCCAATTAAAAAAAAAAAAGAATTCCTTTGGACTAGTTTATCGATGGTTTTATACTCCACTTAATTGAATGTGTATAGGTGGAACCATTGGGAGGATGGTGGTTCAAGGCCAGCCTGAACAAAAAGTTAGCAATGCCCCATTTCAATGAATCTGACACTACTTCAAGCATCACACATGTGGGTGCAGTATCTCTGAAATTCCAGCTATTCAACAAGGTAAAAAGACCATGGTTGAGGTCAATCATTACCCCTTCACCCAAAAAAAGGAAAATAAGACCTTATCTGAAAAAAAAAAGTAAAAAGGCATGGCTTAATTGCTCAAATGAGAGCATGCTTGCCTAGTAAGAGCAAGGCCCCAAGTTCAAATCCCAGTACAGACAAAATATATTATTCTTACTAACATTTATCTGGCACTTAGTTATATAAGTTAAGCCTTACACAATTTTGTGCTTTGCACAAATTCTTCAAGGTATCCTCACAGCTACTCAAATAATTCAATAATACTTTGATTTCCACTGTAAGGAAGAAGGAAATAGTTATGTTTTTAAGAAGAAATGTTAACATTCCTTAGGGGAAAAATATGTATCAAAGTCCACAAATAAGATTCTATCTAATGAATATTTCGTCTCAGTAATATGAAATCCTTAGAAGGGCAGAAACAGCCTCCCTTGGTTTTCCCCCATCTATCCACACTGAGAAAATGCTGTCAGACTTTAGACACCAAGAGACTTCAACAAAAACAACAGCTCACATGGCTGTGCGAAAGTAATGAAAGCTGAGAAAACTTGCATAAATATAGATATAACTCAGAAATGGTACCCACTTACCAGTAGTGTATAATTGCCAGGCTCATACTGAAATAATCGGACACCAGGATTGTTGGTCTCTTTTTGTGAAAGTCCTTTCACTGGTGTAACAGCAGGAGCCACAAAACCAGAATTTATTGGACTTCCTGGATGAAACATATATAGATACACATTGTTCCATCAGATGAATTAAAGAACAGTAAAATTACGAACATATTCCAGATTGAGAGAGTCACAAAAATAATAGCCAAATGCTATGTGATTACTGATGGATCCTGACTTCAAACTGTTTAGAGACACATTAAAAACCAGGAGAAGTTTTCATAACAATATCAAAAATTACTGTTGGTTTTAAGCACATAAGTTAATGTCATTGTGGTTATATAAATTATATTACTAGTGATGAATACTGAATTATGCAGGGCTAAAATAGATTGGATATTTAAAATAACTTTATTTGTTTTTTGGGTCCGGTTGTGGGGCCTGAACTTTGGGCCTGGGTGCTGTCCCTCAGCTCTTCAGTTCAAGGCTAGTGCTCTACCACTTGAGCCACAGCGCCACTTCTGGCTTTTTTCTTTTTGCTTATGTGGTGCTGAGGAATCGAACCCAGGGCCTCAGGCATGCAAGGCACGCGCTCTACCACTGAGCCATCTTCCCAGCCCCTGAAATAACATTTAAATACTTTGAGCAGACATATACATAGATACACACAAATATATGTTCCTATATATACACATACATGTAATAGGTAAATGTGAGAAAATCATGATATATTTTGAATATGAATGACAAATAATAGGGGTTGTTGTATCATTCTCTCTGCTTTTCTTTGAAACTTTTCATAAAGCAAGAAAAATGCAAGTCTATCATAGACACAGAGAACTACAAATAAAAATCTGTGGTTTATCATAAATACAGACACAAAGAACTACAAATAAAAATCTTTGGTCTGTCCTATACCCTAAAACATTAAGAATCTTGATAAGAATTCGACAAAATGCTCACCTTATTTTACATTTCTCCTATGAAGAAACATTTTTTTTCCAAGCTAAAAAGATCAAATGCTAAAGCGTAGCCATTTTTAAACCAAGCCAATTCATTCTAGATAAGAGGTAACCATTCAAAAGAGTGCCCCAGTTACTGAAGAAAATGCACATGGGTTCCTAACCTGTCTACTTTAAACCAAACTCTCATTTTCCTGTCAACTTCTTGCTAAACAACTATTTCCTTTCTTTGACTGCTTGGTAGGAGACAATTTTAGCTATTCACCTACAAGTCTGAGCTCAATACCTTTCACATCATTATGTATATTGTGCTCTGTTTTTAAAATTCTAAATAAAACAATTTTTGTACAAATAACGCTACTTAAAATTTATGCACATATATATTTTCAAGCGATAGTTATAAAGCGTTATTGACAACATAAAGTGTTTGTAAACCAACAGAAAATCTAAGCACATATATACATTTTTAGTCTAGATTTTAATAAAAACAAATTTTAAATAAAAATAACTGAGTCTAGCCAATAAATAACAGTTTTACTTCTATAAACTGGATGATGTAAAAGAATATCAAAGTCAATAGAAGGCTTAAAAACTAACCAAACAAACAAAAAGCAAAACAAACCATTATGAGCTTATGCAGCTAGTAGAAACTTATGTAGAATAACCAAATTACAGAGATGGTATAATGAGCTGTACACTCATCATACAAACATTTGTATGCAAAGGTTAGTGATAGGTTTTAATAACATTTTTAATTTCCTCTGTCAACAATGTACTAGATATTCACAGCTTTGCTCTCATATCCTTGGAAGAGGTTAAAAGAAGGTCACAATACCTTTTTCATCTGAAAGAACCATAACGCTGTCTCTATGGGTATGCCCATAGAACTGTCCTGCAATGACATTGCTGAATCTTCTAAAAATATCTATCAGTCTCTCATTGTAGTACTGTCTCATGGCTGTGATACCACTGGAAAAAGGCAGATATCCCACTGGAATGTGTGCGATGATGTACACCTGAAGCAGGAAATATGAGGACTCATGACAGTTTTTTATGACATTCTTCTTTCAAGATTACAGTATTTACACTGTTCTCATTGGCCATAATACTTTGAATCTTCACCTTTTATTACTTTTCATTTACTGACACCTGATTCTGCCCCAAGACCAATAAATATACAAATCTTATCTTCTGTTTATCTCATGATGATTTTTCATCTATAGGACATACCTTCTCCTTACTTTGCTGAGAGCGGTTCAATGTATTTTCCAGCCATTCAAATTGATTAGCCGGGTCTGTGTTGTTGATGGTCACAAGATTAGGGCCATAGTACAAGTTAGTGTTTAGACTGATGATCCTCAAGTTTGGATTACACTTAACACTCTGTGAATAGAAGCCACCTAATAAAAGCAAATTTAAAACACATATTTTAAGGAAACAAAATTCTTAAGATTAACTATATAGAACGGAAAATGTGTGCTCATTTCTCATTGCTTAGATAAAAATTCTATTTAACAAGCATTTATTGAAAAGTTTCTATATGACAGAGCCAATGTGTGCATACTGAGTTAACAACAGTTGTTCCCAACATTCAAAGAAAATTTTAATTAAATGTTTTGGCAGTAAGCAATAAAACTGAATTTTATAAAATAAAGATTTATATCTCAACTTATACTTTTATATTGAGACTTACTAAAGAACGGAATGACGCTCTGGCGGCTCATGCCTACAATCCTAACTACTCAGGAGGCTGAGATCTGAGGACCAGAATCAAAGCCATCCTGGGTAAACAAAACTGTGAGAAATTTATCTCTAATTTAACTAACAAATAGCCAGATGTGGAGGCATGGCTCCAGTGATGAGTATGAGCTATAAAAGGGTATAAGAATACAAGTTCAGTCTCCAGGCCTGGCACAAAAGAGAGAGATACAGAGAAAGAGACAGAAAGAGGGAGACACAGAGAGAAATCCTAAAGCATGGGGAAATGCATACGCTACATGAGTAACCACTGAGGAAAAACTGTCAGATAAATCAGAGCTGGTATAACTTCAGTGGTATCCTGAGCAACCTCGTGCTGCTGAGCCAACAGTGACTGATATTCAAGGATCAGCTGCTCTGGTGTTTTCAAAGTGAGCCACTAGGATATTGTATCTACTTTCTTTGCTCTGGGCTTACTCAACATGCATTCCTTTTCTGAACTTTCAGTTATAACTGAGCACAGACTCTATAATTTGCTTCTCCTTCCCTATAGCCGCAATATCTTATAATTTTAACTGTGGTAAGAGCAGGGTTATTTTTGAACAAGCAATTCATTTTGCCCTAGTAGCAGAAGATAACAATTCCTACCAGGGGTTTGAGATGACAGAGTTGAACCCCTTCGTGCACAACATTTCTGCTCTAAATCACTTTTAAGAATATCATGATAGCTTTTATTATTCCTGATGTTAATATAGTATGACTACCATTAGAGGCAATATCGTTGTGAAACTCGTGGTTTGCATTTGTCAGCTCTTTTCTACCAGTCTCTCTCTGCCTTGAGCTGGGCCTACTTAAAATCCAAGGCAATACTTTGAAATATGGGTCATTCTTTAGGGTTTTCCTTCAATGTACACAAGCTCACAGGTCTGGGATACATAGGACTGGATACACTTCCCTAGATTAACCTAGACCATGGCCTCATACTCATATATATTCTGATTTCTAGACAATAACAAAAATTTGAGGAAAATAGTCAAAGAAAACTTTTGAAAAAACCAAGCCATTAATTCCTAATTGTCTCCTAATTTTAAAAATATCAAAGTCTCTGGGCACCAGTGGCTCATGCCTATAATCCTAGCTACTCAGGAGGCTGAGATCTGAGGATCGTAGTTCAAAACCAGCCTGGACCGCAAAGTCCATGAGACTCTTATCTCCAATAAACCACCAGAAAACCAGAAGTGGTGCTGTGGCTCAAGTGGTAGAGTGCTAGCCTTGAGCTGAAGAGTTGAGGGACAGAGCCCAGGCCCAGAGTCCAAGCCCCACAACCAACATAAAATAAAATAAAATAAAAATAAATAAAAGTCTTACTTTAATAGTTCAGCTTTCCAGGCAGTGGTGGTTCCTGCCTGTAATCAAAGCTACTCAGAAGGCTGAGATCTATGGATCATGGTTTAAAGCCACATTGAACAGAAGAAAAGTACACGAGACTCATCTCATCTCCAATTAACCATCAGTTAATCACTGAAGTGATTAATGGGGCTATGGATCAAGTAGCAGAGTACCAGCTCTGAGCAAAAATACTATGGGACAGCACCTAGGCTCTGAGTTTAAGTACCCAGTACCAGTGCATGCACATGCGGGCACGTGCATACACACACACACACACACACACACACACACACACACACACACACACTGTGGTTGTTTAGTTTAAGGTTAGTGTCTATTATCTCTTGTTAATCAATTTCCAATTACATATTCTTGATAAGAAATGTACTCATTACCTTGCCTGTGTAATTGTAACCCCTCTGTATGGTATTTTCACAATAAAAAATTAAAAATAAAAAAGTACATACTTCTATTTAGATTCAGACCCAAAGTTTAAATTTTGCTTCATGTTGGAACACCTGGGTTGAGGGTGGAATAGGAAGGGAAAGAGCTCCCTTCAAGTTACAGGCCCACACGTGTCATTAAGGCATTGTAGCTGTTCCCTGCATGTGCAGGGGTTCTCCAGAATTGGCAAACCCCAGCAAGCAGCAAGCAGTAAGATCGAAGCTTAAACAATATGAATAAAACTGGAGGCAGAGTGGGGACAAGTCTCTTACCTTTTTTTAAAGTACTAATGGCTTCTTCATCTAGCCATGGTTTCCAGAGGCTGGCTACAGCATCGTATACCTTACTGGTGGATATTGGCAACTGATCCTGGCCATAAACAATGCAATCCATCATTAAAACTTGAATGGTTCACAGATTCATTAATTTAAAGATTACTTAAGTGCTGACTACTATGTGAGGCATCTGAAAGTGCAAAGATGAATCCTGGATTGATTTAGTCTTTAGGGAATTAACTAATCAGAAGATACTTTTCTCAGTGCTACCAAAGCAAATCTGAGAGCATGGGAGCAGGAACAATTACACTGTGGGAGAAGGAAGAAAGAATTTAAGTCAGATCTGGAATAATGATTTCATCAACTAGATTTTAAAAAAGAAAAAAAGAACATCAAGTAATATTTAATGGTCCAAAAACAAACACAGATGCACAGAGATGTGACCCAGGTACAAAGAAAAGTTCAGGTTTTCTCTATGACTAGGGTACAGGATGATATAGGGAGTGAGTTCATGAAAGAGACACTATTCTAAACACAAAAGACTTGGTATAGCATACTGAGAAAGTGGGGAAACGTCATGATTTAAGAATGTAGAGTAGGCAGCAATGGCTCACCCCTGTAATCCCAGCTACACAGGACACTGAGATCTGATTATGGGTCAAACACAGCCCAGACAAGGAAAGTCAGAGAGACTCTTATCTCCAATTAACCATCAAACCCAATGCAGAGGTATGTTTCAAATGGTAGAAGGCTAGCACTGAAGGAAAGAAAAAACTAAAACTAAAGCATAGTGCCCAGGCTCTGAGTTCAAGCTCCATTACCAGAAGAAAAAAAGAAAGAAAAAAAATTAGTAAATGCCTTTGAGATGTTAAACTAGTATAAAATGTCTCAGTAGCTTAAATGTCTATATCCATGGTTTTTTTTAATTTTAAATGGCAGCTTAAACTATATCTGCAAGTTTTGATTTTTTAATGATACACATTAGGTACATATTTGTTATAAATTATCATTTTATTATACCAATTTATAATATTACTGAAGAAGTGTCTGAATTAAAAAAGTATTAATACTGATGAGCTCAGGGAAACTTAAAATACTGAATATACTCACAGAGATTATTTGTGAAATTGAACAATTATTCCTATATTTTGCTTTAAAAATAATTTTGAAAGAAACCTAAGGCCCTTTTCTTCACTTTCTTTATTTCCTTGTGACTTCAGATTATACAGAGCCATCTCTTTGTGGAATTTCTCTGTCAGTATTGATCAAAATACTTAGCTATATTTCAAGCTAGGTACTGTGCAAGAAATAACCCAATGAATTGTTTTAACTGAACTAATTACCCAAAATGTATCTTCAGTTGGTGTGAATCATGTTCATCTATGTGAGAATTACAATTGAGGACAATGTCGATTTGAAGGAAAATTGGTAAAATAACAATAATAATAAAGATAAATTTACAAAGTATTGACCATTCCTTCAATTAAAGATGACTGACAAAATCATAATGTTGCCTACATAATGTGTAACCTTAAATTTTTCAATTGCCCCACAGTAACCATGGGGGTTTATTTTGAGATTCCATTTGAATACTAAAACCCTTGGGGGACTCAAGGCATCTCAAATGCCATTTATAAATAGTATTTACATAAAATCTATTTATTTACATAAATAGCATTTACATTCTTTTGTCCAGCTCAAGTCATCTTCAGATGACCTGTAATACCCAATAAAATTAAATGTTAGGTGAGCAACTGTTATCTGTAGAGTTCAGGGAATAGTGGCAAGAGCAAAGATCTGCTCATGCTCAAGATTTAAGGATTTCATTAAAAATATTTTCAGTCTGAAAGTGGTTTAATCCTATTGTACAAAACCTACAGATCTAGAAGAATGGAATACATAGAAAAATCAATCTAGATTTTTCCCATTTTTAAATATAAGGAAAGAAGTTGGGTGATTCATCCAGCCAGCTGGTCCTGCCCTCAAGCCTCCACATTTTCTCACCATTACTTTTACACTGTTTATCGTGTCATGCTACCTTCTCAGTCCTGCTGTATTGTGGCCTTGCCACTGCTGAGAAATGAGGTGCAATCAAGAGTGATCCACCCTGTGGGGACTATGATCCAGACTGCTCAGTGGAAAGCAACAAGAAGGAATACCCAGGTTCCCACTGTTATCTGTCTCAAATGTAATTGGTGGGGACACCTACCTCTCTGTTTATGGTACAGGTTTATGGGGGTTGAATGGAGAAATTACATTTCAGATAACATTGGAAATTTTCTAAAACTGTGAAGGGGAGAAATAACCATTGGAAAATAGATTCGGGAAAAAAAGACTTTCAGATATAAAACCATAATCTAGGGGCTTGATAATAAGCTCAGTGTAGCCTCTACACTGAGCTTATATGAGGCCCTGGTTTCGGTCCCATCCTAAAAAAAAAAAAAAAAAAAGTAAGAAAAGAAAGAAAATCATAGCCATGTGTTAGCAACTCACATCTATGATCCTAGCTACTGAGGATCTGAGTGTTTCAGTTACAAACCAATCCAATCAGACAAATCCAAGAGAGATTCCAAATACATAACTAGCAAAAAAACAGAAGTTCTGGTACAGCTCAAACGGCAGTGTGCCAGGCATGAGTAAATGAAGGAGTGTAAGTTCCAGCCCCAGTAGCAAAAAGGCAAGAAAAAAATTAGTCAGTTAAGGTATATATATATATGACATAAGTTACTGATACATATTGTAAGATAAATCAGAGAAGTCAGTCTTTAAATCTGAATTTTTTACAGTTTGATGAGATTTAAAACATAAAAAGACCTCAAAAAGTGAGCAAAAGTGCAGTATGGACTGCCATTTAATAAACCACCACTTACTGAGGACTTATGGAATGCCAGGAAGTAAACTAGACCCTCTTCATAAATTATCACTAGTTCTCACAAAAACTTCGCAAGATAGGTATTAGTGAATCTGTGTGCAAATATAAGGAACTTATGGCTTATGATATGAAGTCAAGCTCTTCAAAACAAATCAAGATAGAGTTAAGTTCTTGTGACTATATCTCAAAACCTCACAGTTTTCAGTACACCTATCATTGAAGGAATATAAAAACATATGTGTAACTTTGAGCTTGTGAAGGTCATTTGCCCTAAAGTCTCCAAACTAGATAATTTAATAGCAAAACAGTAATAAAATTGGCCACTAGAGTTGGGGTACTGGCTTACAAAGATTCCTATCTTGTTCACTCCAAGATTGGAGACCAATGCCATAAAGGCATTTGAAAGTTAAACTTGTGCTAGAATGCAGTTTTCCAAAATCTATATTCTATTCTACTCATGTTACCTAAAGTAACTAGTCATGTTACCTAAAATAACTCAACTCCACTCATCTATATGACAGAAAACGGGAAAGATATTCCAGGCAACGAGAAAAATGCACAGAGTAAATATCCTGTTTAGGAAATACTGCGTATGTCAAGAGCAAGGGATGTGTAAAAGGGGCGGGGGGGTGGGAGGGAAGGGGAGAGGAAGAACTGGAGTGAAAAGATACAGAATTGGGGATTTTGAGCACCTGGAAAAGCCAACTGCACTTCTGGGCGTCGTTTTTTTCTCATCTATCAAATGGAGGACTGATTCAGAGCGCGAGTCAGTAAACTTTTCCATAAAGGAAAACATAGACTTAGGAACCATGCAGTCTCTGAAACAACTATTTTACCTCTGCAGTCATAGACAAAACAGGAGCAATGAAAACAGCGACTTCCGTTAAGAAGCTATTTATAAAAAATAAACAACGGACTGAATCTGAACCACAGGCTACATATACTTTGCCAATCTCCAGTCTATTGAGCAATCTCAGGTATCCCTTAAATCTATACAAATTGTAAAGAATCCTTGAACCATGACTGACATCCAATTGTTATGCCCAGGGAGCTTAACAAATGGCAACTCTTACCGGTGCTCAGGCTCCACCAGGTATTAAAATTGAATATTCTGAACATAGTTTCTGCTTTGAATCACATCTTAATTAATTGGAATGTGGATCTTTCCCCTTTGGCTATCATAGGAGTCTTCTACAACTTCTGTTATTAACTGCATTTTTTTGGCGGGGGGCAGGGGGTCTTTTCTTTTTTTTTTCTTTTCTTTTGTTGGTCGTGAGGCCTGAACTCTGGGCCTGGGCACTGTCCCTTGGCTCTTCAGCTCAAGGCTAGCCCTCTACCACTAGAGTCATAGCTCCACTTCCAGCTTTTTCTGCTTATGTGGTGCTGAGGAATCGAACCCAGGGCCTCATGCATGCAAGGCAAGCGCTCTACCACTGAGCCACCTTCCCTGCTCA